TTACAGCCTTGGAGACGAAGGGTCACTATGAGTTGGAACTCAGTGACAGTGAGTTTTCTATCTCATCAGTGAATTTCCATCCATGTTCTCCTCTCTCTGGTAACCACCAAAGAATGTTTGTGGATATAAAAACTTTTATTGACTTTTTGTAATAGTGGTCTCATATACTATTTATCATTTTGTAATTATTTCATTTGGCATAATGTCTTTCATTTTGTAAGATGTTTTGTGAATTCATTGTTATTGTTTAATGTTGCACAATATTCCATTATGTGTACACACTCCAGTTTGTTTATTCTTCCATTGATGGACACTTAAGTTGTTTGCATCTTTTCGGCTATGGTAGAAAATTCTACAATGAAAACAAATATTTATACGCACCTCTAGAGAGTGGGACTAATGGATCATATGATATTTCTATCTGTAGATTTTTCAAAAAGCACTATATGCTTTACATATTGGCTCGCCTATTTTATATTCCCACCAGCACTATATGAGGCTTGTGTCTCCCTCAACCTTGCTGGCATTTTTTTTCCTGTTTTTTGCATCACTGTCATTACTGCTAGCATGAGAAGTACATGAGCAATGTACCTTTACCCATGTCATTTACTGTTTCTGAAAACCTGCTGGAGGGTCTCATATGAGTCATTTCCAACTCAAAGGTACCTACCTACAATAACGGAGGCCTGGCGGAAGAGTGGCTATCTTGGAGGTTGTTGTTATGTGCCTCTAGGTCTAGTTGGAACTGACTCATAGCTGACTCTGCAGTGGACTCAAAGACCATAAGTCACTTGGGAGGAGATTGCCCATCTTTCTCCTTTGGGGTAGAAGCTGGATTTGAATCACTTGCCTTTGGATTGACAGCATGACTCCTTATCCACTAGGACATCAGAGCTTCCTGTTTGAAAAGTTGGTGGTTCAAACATACAAGCCCACCGCAGGGAAGAGACATGTGGCAGTCTGCTTTCATAAAGAGTTCTAGCCACTAATCCCTAGGGGAAAATTCTAATCTATTTCCTAAATTACCCTGGAGGAAATGACCAATGGGTATGATCATTGTTTCATTTATTTTTTGCCACTCAAGTGTCCTTTTGGTGTTTCCGTTCATGCCCTTTGGCCATTTTAAATCAACAAATGAATGGCTAGAGAAGCTGAGGTATATTCGCACAATGGAATACTATGCTGCATTAAAAAACAAGGAACTCATGCAATATTACTGAAAATGGTTGACTCTGGAGAACATTATGCTGAGTGAAATGTCCCAGTCACAAATATTGCATGGTGCCACTGTTGTAGAATGGGACTGTCCTTGGGGTTGGGGAGAGACTGAGTAAGATGGGTTCAATAATGTATGCTGCTCTGAAACAGAGAAGGGAGAAAACTGTTTAAAAGAGATATGTGATTAGGTATTTCTGTCATGACAGGAGTCTAGAGCTATGGCTACATGGTGGAGTGGACCTGGGGGAGGGTTTGTAAAATAATGAAAGAATCTTTTCTTTTACTTCTCCAAGAGGGTAATGTCTGGTGGGGGGGAGCCTTGGGAGGGGACAAATCTACAACAATGAATGAATGGAAATCCAAAGCCTCTGTAAATTTTCACTGAAATTAATAACAAATTTAAATTAAAAAAAAGAAGTTAGAGTAAGGATGGCAATGGAACCACCTTACCTCTGTAACTTGATTTGTGTCACTATTAAAACCTCTACTCAGAATATTATTGTTTTTCTATTTTTGACTCATGCACTTTTAACTTGTTAGTTAAATTTGTATCTTCTAGGCTGCAACACTTCCATGATACATCTTCAAGGATATGATCATGTACGGCTAAGCACAATTGATAACAGTGCATCTAAATTCCAGAACCAATCTCCATAATAGTCTATGTGTTTCCTACTGCCAAGGGGGCTCTTTAGAGTAGTGAGAGAAGACATTCACCCTGAAACCCACAGCATCCCTTTTCAGCAGGGAGTAGCTAAGAGAATACACCATCCCCTTTTCCTTATGAATCAGGGTGAAGTCTCTCTCAGGGAGGAGTGATAGGGAATGGCAAGGGACACACTGACAAAGGAGATTAATCAGAACTGGCTTTGACAAGCACTGTGGCAATTGGACAATTAAAACAGACATGGGGGGGGGGAAAGAAGAACGAACTGGGGATGAGGGTGGAGAAAACAGTGCAACAATGAATGAATGAAAACCCAAAATCTCTGTAAATGTTCATAAAAACTAATAAAATTTAATAATAATAAAAAAAGAAAGTGAAAATACAAATAAATAAATACATACATACATACATACTAAGGTGTGCTCAGCCCCCCCCCAAAAAAAGATTTTAAATGTCAATGAAGGCTTTACAGATCACATTGATTTTTCACACAGTCATCATAGACATTTTGTCTTTTAACATTACTTTGTCAATTTTTAAATGGGATTGCTTGTCTTTTTATTGTAATGTTGGAGTGGTCTATGAATTTGATTAGATCCTTGTCAAAAACATTATTGCCAATTTCTTCTCCACCCTAATCTATGAGTTCTATCTTAACTATTCTGCAGAAATCTTTTGATAAGCCTAAGTATTTTGCTTTTGGGAAGTTTTAGTTGTCTTAATTCATCTTCTGCTCTTGGTGCATGTTGACTTCTATTTGATAGTCCATTTATGACATAAGTTGGAGCCATTAGGTTTACCCCCTTATGTTTTCTTTTATGATCTTTTTTGTTTTGGTTGTTGGTTTGTTTAAATCACTTTAATCTTTGATCCTTTTTTAGTTAGGTATATTCTGTAGTGTGAGGTATGGCTCTTGTATCCTTTTTTGCAAGTGGTTATTTATCTAGTTACCAGTACTGTTTATTAGAGAAACGATCTCTTCCCCATTTAGTGAACTTTGACATTTGTTGAAGAGCAACTATAGGTGAGTGACATTTTCTGAAGACAACTGTCCCTAGGTGGGTGATTTTATTTTTTAGTTCTTAGTTCTTCCATTGATGTGTGGCTGTTCTTGTGCCAGTACTAGGCTGTTTGACTCCTATGGCTATCATATTAGGTTCTGAGATCAAGAAATGTGAGACTTCCCACTTGGTTCTTCAATCACTGATTCATTTGAGATCTCTTTTTCTGCATAAAGTTATTGATTAGTTTTTATATCTTGTTAAAGATTGTTGTTGGAATTTCTATCAGGATTATATCTATTTTAAAAAGACCACTTTTAGGTCGTATTGACAGTTTCTCAGTGTTAAGTCTTATCCATACATAGTATGCTTTTGTCTTTGTGTGCATTTCTTCTGGTTACTTGCAATAGTGTTTTGTAGTTTACACTGCATAAGACTTATGTCTTTAGTTAGGTCTTTTACTAAGTATTTTATCATTTGGAAATATTTTGGGCTACTACTGACAGGAAAGATTGACAGTTGGAATCCAGTAGCTACTCTATGGGAGAAAGATGGACACTGTCCTGTGAAGATAATCTCCTTGAAAATTTGACAGAGGTTGAAATGAGACAACAGTGGTTCGGATTTCAGGGGTTGGTTCTTTCAGATCTCTTGTTATTGATGAAGAACCTAACTAATTCTTCTGTTTTGATCTTGATTCCTTCTACTTTGATAAATATTCCTGTTGGTTCTTTTTTGTACAGTCTCTGGGTTTTTTTAATGTATAAAATTACACAGGAAGGGATTATTTGAGTTCTTCCTTACCAAAATGAATGCTCTTTATTTCTTGCCTTGTTCTAGTTAGGTCTTCCAATACCATATTGAATAAAAGTGGTGATAAAGGGCATATTTATCTGCTTTTTTCAAAGAAAATGACATTTCTGTTCTATTTCTGTTTTGCTGAAAATTAGGATTTTTTTAAAAAGTCATGAGTAGTCATTAGATTTTATCAAATGCATTTTCTGTATTGATAATCATATGATTCTTTGTTTTATTTCCTTTTTTGTGGTTGAACTATCCTTGTACTTGGTATGACTCCCACTCGATCATGATGTATAATTTGGAGAGAGGATGAAAGGTACCCAAGCGTCAAGCACTCTCCTTCATTGAGTCGCCTGCGACTCGACGGCACTTAACAACAACAACAACGTAGAACTTTCTTAGCTATCATTTTGTTGTGATTTTTACATATACATAATATTCATGAGGGATATTGGTCTATAATTTTCATTTTTAGAAGTGTCTTACTTGGCTTTAGTACGCTGGCTTACTGAATGAACTCAGAAATATTTTTCTTTTTATATGTACTGAGATAGTTTAAGTAAGAATGATGTCAGCTTTTCTTTGAATGTTTGGGCCAGACTTCTTCACAGAATTCTCCAGTGATATTGTCAGGTTGGGGCCAAGATTTTTTTTTAAATAATTTACTCAGTTTCTTCTTTTGAGACAAATACACTCAGATTATTTTACCTGTCTTTAGATTACTTTTAGTAGGTACTGTATGTCTAGAAATTTATTTCTTTTTGGTTTAAAAATTTGTTGGAATAATTTTTTTTCATATTGTTGTCATTATTTATCACAATTGCTTCTGTTGTATCATCCATCTCATTATTTTAGTAAATTACATATTTTTAAAAATTGTGATTTGAGTGAAGTTTTCAGAGCAAATTGGTTTTCCATTCAATTATTTAGTGGTTTTCATCTTCTCACTATTTTCTTTTGTTACACTGCAAAAAGTAATTCCCTTAAAGGAATATTCTAATGATTTGTTGTAGAGCTAACATTTTTAAAAAAAAATAAAATATCTATGCTTTGGAAATGAAATTGACTTTGAAAAGTTTCTGATTTGGGGAAAGGGTGGAGAAAGTATTTGCATTGTATATTGTATTTAATGCTGTAAAACAAAATATGTGTGAATGAAAAACTAGCTTGCTTTGGAAACTTTTCACTGAAATCACAATTAAAAAATGTAACACAATTAAAAAAATCTACAAAATATATTAAACCAAAGTAAGGTTTGCTGAACTTGGAAAAAATAATGACATTATTGATTTCACCTCTTCTTTCTTTTGCAGTGTCTGCAAATTCTTTGCCATACTGAAAGAAACGGAAACAAGTACCAAAGTTGATACTGCTATGTCGAGGCTGTGGAAGAAGTATAATGTACTATATGCACTCTTCAGCAAGTTAGAAAGGTAAAGTAGAAGTTTGATTAGGGCTACAATCTGTTTTTTTCATATTATCAGTTCTGTTTAGATTCTGTGTGGGGACTCTTACATAGTTATCAAGTGTTGGTCTTCAATTCATGTCCCATTTGCCATTAGTATTTCATTAGTAGCTTTCTTACTTATCCAGTCTTATGTCATCTGAATGCTGCTTCTAAAATGAATGGTTTGTCTCCTTTCCTGCCCATCATTTGTTTTAGCAAACCTTAAGCTTAGTTCCCACCTTAACTATCCCTTGCCAGAAGTTCTACCTGAAAGAGTGACTCTGAGTTTAAGCCTATTCACACTGTTCCTGAGTTTAGAAAAAGTATGAACAGTGAAAGGTGGGTATGGTCTGGACTACTGAACTTTGTTTTGCATTCCCAATGGTGTTTTAAAAGATGTCACCAATACTGTTCAATAAAAAAATTAAAGTAAACTGGGGTTAAGATTTTTGGGGTGTTTTTGTTTTTTGTTTTTTTAAATTGTTGTGTACCATCAAATTGGATCCGACTGGCACAGGAGATGCCCCTCCTTCTCCAGCAGGGCATCTGGTGAATTTTAACCATGTGCCTCTGGAATTGCAGTGCAGCTTCTTTCCACTAGGCCACCATAGCTCCCTGTGGGGTTAAGGTTTTAATACACTTTTCATCCAAACTGTACCCTTCCACCCCTTCTGTTAAACCCTAGTGTTGACTGCCACTCATAGCAACTGAGTTGATACATGTAGCAGAATAGAACTGTGCTTCATAGGGTTTTGTGTACCATGGAGTCAGAACCGTCTCATAGCTGATTCTACAGTAGGTTTTCAGAGGCAGTAAATCATGTAGGAGGAGACTGCCCTTCTTCCCTCTGAGCCGCAGATGGATTCAAAGCATGCGTCTTTGGGATGGCACTGCATTTCCTTATTGCTTGGACACCAGAGCTCCCTATAGGGTTTTCAGTGGCAGATTTTCTGAAGCCAAACGCCATGACATTTAGACCTCACATTTAAACCAACTGGGATCTACCCCGCAGTATTGTAGCTTCTAATATGGCATAGGCCATTTTACTATGTTTGTTTTAGGGTGGGTATGCTCAGGGAATATGAAAGGTAATGTTTTAGTTAAACAAGTGATTATGTATGTAACAGAATGTGGATGGGCGAAGGGAAGAGTGACATCCCTTAGATGTTCTGAGGGAAATAAGTAGTAAAGCTGGTGGAGAAGTATTTTCTCAGAAGGATGTCTCTGTTTTCCCTTATTCTTAGTTACTATGCCAGTAAAACATCAGAAGTCTAATTGTTGTTCTTAGTTGGTACTGAGTCAAGTAAGACTCATAGTGTCCTCAGTGAACAACAGATCACAACCTTGCCCTACCCTGTGGCATCCTTATCTGACAGTGGATGAGAAAAGCAGAAGGAAAACACAAAACCTGGTGCTTCTGAAAAGAATGCCTTCTGCACTGAGGTTAGGGAAGTGGATGCTAATTGTGCTTTATATGCAAGTAAGGGGACTCTTGTGACTTAGTCCCCAGTGAGCTGCACTGCTAACCCAAAGCGTGTGCTTCCCTGGTGAACCTGACCTACCAGTGGCTCTCCGCAACTTCAGCAGTCTACATCTGTGTGATTTAGAGCCTCAGTCCGTGCTCTTGTCTCGGTACTCTTTTATAAAGGTGACAAATTAAGTATTTAATGTTTGTGAAATCCCAGGTACCTATTTTGTTTTCTGTTGTTTATGGGTTTGTTGTGTATGATAATAGAAAAAAAACAAAAACCCCAAGTTTGATTTCTGTATTTTCTTCAATGAACTTTCTGGGGTTATATTTATCAGTAGCATCCCTGATCCTTTTTAAATTGTCTTGTACATGACATGAAGCATGGACCATGTTTTTCTCCATGAAGAAATAAATTTTCTTCTGTGTTGAATAGATTTGGCTCCTTTGTTGAAAAGTCAATTGACCATAGCTGCTTGGATTTACTTCTGGGTTTTCATTCCTTTTCCATTGGCTTATGTCTATCATTAAACCATGCCACGCTGTTTATATTACTGTAGGTGTCTGATATGTTTTGAAGTTAGAAAGTGTAATGCCTTCTACTTTGTTCTTTAAAATGTCTTTGACTCGTCAAGATCTCTTACATTTTCATATAAAACTGAGGATTAGTTTTCCTTTTTTCTGAAAAATGCAGTTAGCATTTTAATAAAAATTGTTTTTATCTGCAAATGACTTTTGGTAGCATTAATATCTTGACTATGTTAAATGTTCTGATTCTTGAGAATGGACTGCCTTTTCATATATTTAGGCCTTCCTCAGTCTTTTAAAGTTATGTTTTATAAATTTCGTTGTAAAAGACTCTAAGAGGCTAACTTTATTTCTGTGTATTTTATTCTTTAATAAGTTCTTGGTAATGGAATTGTTTCAAAATTTCTTTTCATCAATGAAGGGGGAAAAGAACTTTAAAAAGCAACTTTAAAAACCCCCTCTGATATTAATAGAATTCTTTCTTCTTTCCAGGACATGCGAACTTATATATTTCACAAACTCCTTCAGTTCGTAAGTAGCTCAGCACATGCTATTTTCACCTTTCTTGGTATGTTTAAATGAGAAGCAGAAAATACAGTGTTTTGTGTTGTATTCTCAAATTTCTTGATGGCAGAATTAGTTGGACTGATTATGACATGCTATTTAATAAGTTAAAGTAAAAAAGCCTCTATTTAGATAGCTCATTTTTGCCACAAAAGAGCTAGTGTGAAATGAATGCTTTGACTACAAAGGGAACTAAAGAGGTGGAAATTGATTCTATGCAAATCCGGGAAAAACGCAGATCAGTTGACTAAATCATGTATATTATGGTTCTAAGAAAGGCAGTTTATTAACTAAGGATCAGTTCATAAATGTGTTGTAGGAAGGCCTTTAAAGTTTGTAAAAATGTAGAGTGATATTCTATCACTATACCTACAAAAGAATGCCAGTGTTTTTCTTTATAAACAGACACAGTGAGCTGTAGATGAGGTTGTTCGGCCTCCCGGAAGCAGCAGTAGAAATGATAGGTTCTTTATTCATTCAGATTCATTCATTCATTAATCCCTTTATGTGAATGTGGATAGAAAATTTTTTTTTATCAAGGCAATGTGTTAAGTTAGCAAAACTAGAATCTCTCATACCTTCATTTCACTGCCTACAGTGCTAATTTCAATTAGAAAATAGAGCAAGAAAAATATTAAGGTAATTAGACATCAAATATATTATTGTACATTGTTTCTCTTGTGTAATTTCACATTAGAATTGAGATATCTGATATTGCCTTAATTGCATATATTTCTCCTATAGGCTAAATACAGTTTCTTGAGGTAATGCATTAAATTGAGAAAAATCTAGTTTCAGCATAAAATGTGCATTTAGGGAGGCTTATATTCTGTTATGCATTAATTTAGGTATGTAATTAAAACCAACTGAAAACAACCAAAAGAAATAGTTATAACATTTTCTATCAGTGTTGAAATTTTCTCTTTTCATTTTGTCCTTGTTTACTAGGATATCTTTGGAATTAAGTCCAATGATGGTGCTAAAATTTTCTTGGATAACATTTTTACTAGCCAAAGGTAAATCCATTATGTTTATTACTTGCTTATGTGTAAGATGTAGTAATTGCTTGATGGTTTTTGGACAAAGCCTAAAACTTTAAAAAATTTAATATACAAGCATTTCCCATACAGTTCTCTTAATAGGTGTTGGTAAGTTCTTGTAATTCCAGGACTAGGAGCCACTTTGGAAATGCCTTTTTTCATTTCTGTTTCTAGTATTTATTGATCTTTCTTAATTTCTTAATTATTAGAATTATTATCTTTTATCACAATGATATATACTTGTGATAAATAATCTTAAACTATCCCAAATTCACCCAGAAGTAATCATTATTTAGTTTTAATAATATTTTAGTTAAAATATATTTTGGTGTGCTTTCACCTGAGACACAAATACCTTCCCTTCTTTGCCCATTCATAGAGGCCTGTTCACATAGTTCTTTCCCATGAGTCCTTGCCCCTTTCCAGTCATATTCCTTCCTGGTCCTTGATCATCCAATCATTCCTTTGGCTGCAGCCCATGAACCAGCATACAGTTACAAGTCTGGATATTTTCCTTCTGAGCAAAGTAAACAACCAAATGCACTGCTTGACGTTTTGCTCTTGAGAGGATTTCCATTTACCACATTCTTCAGGTAGAACCCAGGAATAAGGCTAGGTGCTGCCCTGTTCATATGAGTGATACCTGCATATATCCTACATATCAGGTACAAGTTTGCTTTTCCTTAGTCAACTGATCATAAGGAGCTCCCCATGAGGCCACAGTCGCTCATGGGGAGACAGAAGGCAATGCCAAAGGAGTGGATACCAAGGCATTTGGTTTCATGTAACTCATTTGTGCTTTGTGGCCCAGCTCATACTCAACTTTAATACCATTCCATTTAGTGATAGAGTGCTGTTGTCCGTTACAACTTGGTGAGTCTGTCAGCCAGACAACACCCAGTTTATAATGGGCACCTCAGCCTCCATGGTGTTTTGGTGGCCCATGGTTAGCTGTTCAGTCTCTAATAAAGCCCAGTGTTTCTCTCTCGCTCTCTCCCTCCCACCCCCTCCCTCCCCCTCCTTCTCTCCCTCCCTCCTTCTCCCCCTCCCTCTCTCTTTCTCCCCCCTCCTTCCCTCCCTCCCTTCCACTGTCCGTCTCTCCCTCCCTCTCTCTGTCCCTTCTTTTCTACCTCTCTCCCTCCCTCTCTCTGTCCCTTCCTCCCTCTCTCTCCCTCCCTCCCTCTGTCCCTCCCTCCCTTTCTCTCACTCTGTCTCCCTCCCTCCTTCCCTTCCTCCTCCCATCTCATTTCTGTTAAGTAGAAACCAACTCACAGCTGACTCTCCAGTGGATTTTCAGAAGCTGTAAACCATACAGGAGAAAATCTGTAGGGCATCTTTGTCCCTAGGATTCAAACTCCCTGCCTTTGGATTGGCAGCACAGCACCTAAAAAGCTCTTTTTAGAAAGAAGAGCATTTAACTGCAGAGGATACAGGGCTTTGCTGGACATTCTAAGAACCTATGCTGTGATTCACCAATAGGGGGCTGCCAAGCACTTCTAATAGCATCTCTCTCTGCTTCTGATCCCTCAAGCACTATTGGATCAGCCTGGTCATGTGGCCTGAATGGCTGAGCCGCTTGCACAGCACCCTGAACCTGTTGTAGATTATTTCTCAAAGTCAGTATTGGTACCAGTATTTAACCAGTGCATTTTTCTCTTTCTTATTTTATTAGGTAGTAGAGAAGAAAGATTTTTTAAAATCTGATTTCACTCTATTTTTATCTAGAAGTCCTTGGTACCATTTCTTACCTCAGTGATACTTCCTTACCTCTGTGATAACTTCCTTTTGAACATGTTACAAACCTATTTTTGCATCATACCTTGTAAAAAAAGATTTTTTAAAAATACAAATTTACCTTGTAAATATTTATCTGTTTTCCCATCAAGTTTTTACCTTCAATATTTGTTGGGTGATTATCAATTTAGCAGACAGAAAATATCTAGATGGTAGAGAGTGAGTCAAATGGAACTTCTTAAAAAAGAATATGTAAGCAGACATGTAATAATTATGTTTCATTAGGATAAGTATATTTTGTATGTTGTTATCATGTGTGCTGCTGAGTTGGGACCAAACTACAGCTGACCCTCTAGTGAGTTTTCAGAGGCAGTAAATGGTACAGAAGATTTCCTGCCTTTCTCCCCTAGAGCAGCTGGTGGATTCAAACAGTGTATCTTTGAGATTGCAGTGCAGCTTCTTACCACTAGGCCACCAGAGCTGTATATTCACACCAGTGGTTAAAAAAAGAGAAAAATTACAGCTTCTGTTGCTAATTGTGTTCAACCTAGTATCTCATGAATTTGATTCTTTGGTTTGGACATTTAGGGTCAAGGTTACATGGCACATCCTAGTTTATTGAATTAATAATGTGTTTAGTGCTTCTGGTTTACCTCCTAATCCGTTGAGAAGTACCTAAAGTTTTAAAAGCTTCCGAAGAGCCGTCCAAGGCACAGCCCATATTTTCTATTTAGCTGAAATAAGAGAAAAAGAAGAGTCAGGAGTAGGAGGAGGAATTTAAATGTGCTAATTGGCTCCATGCTAATTGTCTCTTCTGTAAGGAGACTGCCATTACTGGGCATTTTGATTAAAAATTCTATAGAAGAGTCCTGTTCAAAATAGGAAAATGTGGAACAGAAATTCAAATTTTCTTGAACCACTGCTGTTCTGGATCCATGGGGACTAAGTGAACTTCCAAAAATGTTGGTCTATGATTATCTCCTGAGTTCTTAAAAATCATAAGTAAAGAGTATCTGCTGTGAGCATTATGCTCTTTTAAAAATATTTTTTTTTCTTTTTGTTAATTGAGTGAATGTTTACAGGCAAATTGGCTTTCCATTTAACCATTTATGCACATTTTTAATGTATTAATTACAGTACCTACAGTGTAACTATACTCTTCCCTTTCCTTAAACTTTCCATTAATCCATCTATCCTACTCTATCCTGCCTTCTTCTGGGCTTTAACCTTGGAGAAATGCTGCCTCTTTATTTAATACAGTTGGTTATTCTAAGTAGTGAGTGCCCCCCTCTGGTGTTACTGCTCCCCTGATAGAAAGAAATGCCTGTTGTTTGGCTTAAAGCCAAAACAAAGTTTTGTTTCAGGTTTGAAGAATGACTAGAGACCATAGTCTTAGGGTTCCACCAGTCTTAACAGGAACAATAAACCTGGCCATTTTTAGGGTGGGGTTTTTTAAACTTTTGACCCACAGTTTCTCCCACTCTCTTCAAGAAATTCTGCTGGTAGCTGGGCACCATCTAGTTCTTCTGGTCTCAGCGTCATGGACGTTCAGGTTCACATGACCCCTTAATTCTTCAGATTAATTTTGTCTATGCATCTTTACTTTTCCTCCCTCCTTTTTGTTCTGAACAGAGAGGGACCAAACACTTATTGCCAAAATAGGATGTAGGACATGGTCCTTTGTGGACTATGTTAAACCTTATATTTTTTTAAGATCTGTTTACCCTTTGTCTTCCTATTGCCAAAAATTGTTTCCAAACATAGTGACTCTTCATTGGGTTGCTGAGGCTATAAATCTTTTCAAGAGAAGACTACCCATCTTTATCCTGTGGAACAGCGATGAATTGAAACCTCTGACCTTTAGGCTTAGTTATGCAACATGTAATGTACTACCCCATTGGAGCGCCTAGAGAGACCTATTTATGTGGGACCAAACTGATCACAGTAATTTGAAAGAATAGTTAGGAATGTTAAAGGGTACTGAATTTATGTTTGGGTGAGGACCTACTCAGAGAAGGAGCATAAGAATGGTTTCATTCTGACAATGTAATTAATGTCATTGGGTCGTACACGTGGAAACTGTCAGAGTGGTTTATGTTTTTGTTATGTGTATGTCCTCAACAACAACAAAAAGAAAATATGAAAAAACCCAAAGTAAATAGAGTCATGTTTGTGTTGTCAAGTTGATGCCATCTTATTCTGACCTTCTGTGACAGGGAAGAACTGAAGAATAAGTTTTCTGAGGCTGCTTTGTCTAAAGAAGCCACAGATTTTCAGGTCTTTTCTCAAGTGGAGCAGCTGGCGAATTTTAATCTCAGACTTTTCTGTTAGCTGCAATTACTGAACTATTGTGCCATCAGGTAGAGTTTTACTTCCGTTAGAACTTCAGGACTTTATATATTTTTAATTTTGGTTTTTACAGTTAATGTTAGATGTTAATTTTTAATTAAAATTTTTCAACATGTTTAATGATTATTGAATAAATGTGTGCTAGATATATACCCATATCCATAATTGTCCTTTCCTTGAAGTTCTCACTTTAAAAATGTGAATTTTTTTTTCAGGGAAAGTACTCCAAATGGAAGATGACCTTGTGATCTCATTTCAGTTAATGCTGTGTGTCCTTGACTATTATATCAAACTCTCACCACCTTCAATACTTAAAGAACCATATAGTAAGTATTTAAATAACTTCTTTCACTTTGTCATTCAGCAGTTGTTTATTGAATATCTCTGAGGTACGAGCATGGTTCTAGGATGAATTGTTGTGTGCCATCAAGTTGGAACCAACCCATGGCTGATTCTCCAGTGGGTTTTCAGAGGCAGTAAATCTCAAGGGAGAAGATTGACCACCCTTCTCCTGTGGAGCAACTGATGGATTCAAATTGTGTGCCCTTGAGTGTGCAGCTTTTTACCACTAGGCCACCAGAGAGGATGGCAAGAAAGAAATAGACTTAATTTTTTGCCCTCAAGTAGCATTAAGGAATCGTAATAAAGGTAAGTTCTAGAAGCAGATAACTAGAGTACCTGATAGACAGCAGATGTATTAGAGTTCACAAGAGGGAGAACATTTTCCAACTAACTAGCTCTTCACCAACACTGCAGTTCAAAGGCATCGCCTTGTCATGTTCACTGGCAGCTTTCTCATGCATGTGAGGCAGTTGAAAGTAGAATGTCTTGAATCAGGTATACCTTGGTCCTCAAGAGGACATCTTTACTTTTTTAAAAAAATATTTTGATGAGGGCTTTTTAATAGCAGTTTTGTCCAATGCAATATAACATTTGATTTTTTCCCCCTACTGCTTCCATGAGTGTTGGTTGTATATCCAAATAAAGTTAAATCCTTGATATCTTCAGTATGTAGGTTTATTATGATGCTGCCTGTGAGAATTTTGTTTTCTTTATGTTGAAATAAAATTCGTACTGAAGCTTATACATAGTCTTTGAGTGTTGGAGAGAAGTTAGGATTTGTGTGTTGTGCAAAATTGAGGAAGGACATTCCTAGTAAAGAGAAAACCAAGAGCTGGTAAAGCACAGAAATGAATACAGTTTCACAGGAATGAATGGCCTATTCTGTAGGGACAGGAGCTCAATTAAGTTTTTATTAATATTGGATGCTATCGTGACAGTGGTACTAACTTTTCTTTTGTATAAATTGTAATTGGTACTACTCCAGTGGGTGATGAAAGAGGAAATAAAAGAGCAACTATCATTAAAATCATTAGAATAACATTAGGCAAAGAGCAATACATTCCACCAAAAATGGAATTTCTTTGCTTTTAAAATTAATTATTATAATACAGAAAAATAGAAAACTAACTAGGAATAGACTAATTTATTCTGAAATTATGAAAGTTATAATAACACAATTAAAGATCATAAAGGAGATAGATCAAATATACAAATATCCAAGTAGTATTGAAGTAAGTGAAAGACTGAGCCTAACTCATCTTTGTGAACTAGAACCCTCACCACTGCTGGTACATCAAATGGCAGTTTCTCAAAATGTGGAATATAGAGCTACCATTTGACCCAGCAATCCTACTATTCCCAGAAGAAGTAAAGGTGAAAACACAAACCAAACCTGTATACTAGTGTTGACCACAGCACTTTTCACAGTAGCCAAAATAACAGAAACAATGGATATGTCTATCAATAAATCAGTAAACAAATTGGGGTATCATGCATACATGGAATATTGCTGTTGCTTTAGTCAAATCAGTTTCAAGTCATAGCAACTGTACAACAGAACTAAACACTGCCCATTCCTACACCCATCTTCACAATAATTTCTATCATGGGGTTTATTGCTGAAGCAATTATATCAGTCCACATGATTGAGAGTCTTCCTTGTTTTCACATCACCTCCCCACTTTACAAAGCATTGTGTTGTTTTCCAGCATGTCCCTGTGAAATAGCCATAGTATGTGAGCAAAGTCTCACTATCCCCTTCTTTTTTTAAATTTTTAAAAAAGAATTTTTAGTGAAAGTTTACAGAGACTTAGGGTTTCCAGTCATTCACTGTTGTACTTTTCTCCCTCCTCTCCTCCCCCCAACTCACTCCTCTCCTTGAAAAGAAAGAAAAACTTTCATTGTTATGAAATCCCTTCCTCCAAGTCCACTCCACCAAGGAAGCCTTCACTCTGGACTTCTGTAATGATATGAATACCCATTCATATATCCTTTTTAAACAGTTCTTTCCCTCGTGTGTTTCAATGCGATATCACTATCCCCTTCTAAGGAACTTTCTGGTTGTGTATTCAAGATAGAGTGTTTATTCTTTGGTAGTACATGTGTTTTCAGGGCTCTTCACCAACACTGCAGTTCAAAGGCATCGCCTTGTCAGTCTTTCATGTTCACTGACCACTTTCCCAGGCATATGAGGCAGTTGAAAATAGCATGTCTTGCATCAGGTACACCTTGGTCCTCAAGCTGACATCTTTACTTCTCTTTTTTTAAAAAAGTATTTTGATGAGGATTTTTTAATAGTATGTCCAATGCAATATGTCATTTGATTGTTTTTTTACTACTGCTTCCATGAGTGTTGATTGTATATCAAAGTAAAGGTAAATCCTTGGTATCTTCGTTATGTAAGTTGATTGTGAAGCTTACAGTCTTTTCATTAGTAAATTCTTCAGTTCCTCTCCACTTGTAGTAAATAAAGTTGTGTAATGTAAATATTCCAGGTTGTTAATGAGTCTTCCTCTAATCTTCATGCCTACTTTGCCCCCCATGTAGTCCAGATTCTTGGATTACTTCCTGAGGATACAGCTTGAATATGTATGGTATATGGTGAGAGACTAGTACTCAGCTATAAAGAGAAATGAAACCCAGATACATGCTTTAACATGAAAGAATCTTGAAAGCATGCTGAGTGATTTATAACAAGACAAAAACTATACAACCCTGCAAATATGAAATAAGCAAATATGTAGAAACCAAAGTTATAAGTTATAGTTATTGGTTATATTCCAATGTTGGAATGGAGGAGGAAAGGAAGGTTTTGTTTAGGGGACTCTGATGGGATGATGTAACATGATATTGATAAAAGGTTAAACAACATGAAGAATGTAATCAGTGTCAGTCAAATGTAGAAATTGTTGTGTTAGCAGATGTGTTATTTTGCATATTTAGGCCCATTTATACTGTGACTCACATGGGGTTTGCCATCAGTTGATTCTGTAACAACCGGTAATATGGAAGAGTAACAGAATGCTAACAAAATTCTTTCTAACCTCATAAATTCATAATTCTTTGTATATAATTTTTCTTATCTAATTTTCCCTCTTTTTACAGAAACAGCTGTGATCCCTGTTAATGGCTCACCAAGAACACCAAGAAGAGGTCAGAATATCCGGAGTCCCCGGACAGCAAAACAGATGGAAAATGATACAAGAGTTATTGAAATTCTCTGCCTCGCACATGAATGCAATGTAGAAGAGGTAATATAAACTAATGCTTTTTAAGGACTGTTAAAGTAGATTAAATATACATTCTACCTAGCAATATATAAATTTTTGACGAGTGTGCCTTTGAGAATTAATGCTGATTCTTGCAGTAGACCAGTATTTACAAAATAATTCAGTTTTATATTCAATTGCTTTGATTTTTTTCAAAAAAGCACCCTCCTCATTCTGGAGTCACTGAATACCATCGTTAAAATGGTTTTCAAATGTACTGGTCTTTTATTCCTCTGTGGTTTACTGAGAGACCTCTTAATGTATCTCACCAGGAAAACACTAATGTTGTGGTTTAGTGATAACTGACACCAGCATTAAATTTTGTTCCACCTGCTGTAATTACTGTCATTTTCTCAATATTATACCAGATGCTAATGGTTGATAGAGAGTATACATGAGAATACTAGAACTGGTTAATGTTCACGGAATCTGGAGTATGCAAACTGGAATGAATCTTAAATAATGTGTTCAGTCTTGTTTTACTTATACGTACACAGCCTCTAGTGATGTAGTCTGTAAGGAGTTGTGCTACTCACCCAAAGGCTGGAGTTTCCTGACATTTCAAATCCACCAGCAGCTCTGCATGGAAAAATTGGCAGACTCCTTTCATGCAATTCATAGCCTCTGAAAAACCACTGGAGCATTAACTACTAAGTCAGTTCTGACTCAACAGCAATGAGTGAGGAACTAAGTTTTGGAACACCTCAATTCTCCTTTCACTTGACCATGCTGTGTGTCTCATAGATTTTTGTTTATCGCAATTGTTGTTGTATACTTTAGAGTCAGAACCGATCTATACTGACCTGCCAGAGGGTTTTCAGAGGCAGTTAGTTAATCGCACGGGAGGAGATTGCCCATCCCTCTCCAGAAGAGCTTCGAACCTTGGGCCTTTGGGATTGCAGTGCAGCTTCTTGCCACTAGGCCACCAGAGCTTTTCACAGTTACCACCAGATAACTGTATGAAATGCGGCAACTGTATCTTTTATTAGAATGAATCCAGAGATATTTGTTTTTATCACTACTTTTGTTAATATCAACAATTTAAATAAAATAATACATAAATATATATGTACTAATTGTACTAAGTGTACGATTAAGACATATTGCGATGGGAAAGTCTGCTGTTAGGGACCTCTCCAAAGTACTGAAGAGCAATGGTGTCTCTCTGGAGACTAAGGTGCATCTGATACAGACCATGGTCTTTGCAATCACTTGTTATGCATCAGAGAGTTGGACAGTGACTAGGGAGGATAGAAGGAGAATTGAAGCCTTTGAGCTGTGGTGCTGGAGAAGAGTATTGAGGCTACCATGGACTTCTAAGAAAACAAACAGGTTCATCCTGGAGAGGGTTAAACTGGGCTACTCCTTGGAGACAAGGATTCTGGGGCTTTGTCTGACATACTTTGGACATGTTGTGAGGAGGGACTGGTCTTGGAGAGGGACGTCATGCTTGGTAGGGTGGAGGGACAGCACAGGAGGGGAAGGCCCTCTATGAGGTGGATTGATTCAGTGACTGGGGTAATCGGGATGGGAGTGTCAGCGACAGTGCGATTGGCACAGGATAGAGTGGGGTTTAGGGCTGTTGTACATAGGTTCACTATGAGTTGCACGTGACACGATGGCAGATAACAACAACAACAACATCTTAATAAATGTAGATTCCAAATATGGGAAAGGAAGTTTAAGACAAATTAGTTCTTTAAGATTCTGTAAGACTTGAAAGTATAGGATAACTAGGAAAGTAAGTGCAGGTTTTTTAAAGTATGATCTTTACTACCTATTTAATTGGTATGAAATAATTCCATGAACCTTTATATTTGTCTTTGAAATTAATTGTTGTTGCTGTTGATTGCTATTGAGACAAGCACGACTCATAGCAACCCTATGAACAGAAGACTTGAAGCCTTTTGATAACTATTGTTTCTGAAAGTTTCTAGAGTTTCTAAAGGCATGTTGTTTAGGAAGTGGATGCCACTCCTGCTTCCAAATTAATTATAGGGTTTTATTTTGGGTTTTAGTAAGAATTCATTATCTTATATTTTTCCTTAAACACTGAACTGGTATTTCCTATTGTAATATCATCTGAAGATGTGTGTGTAAAGTAGCTTGAGATGTGCTTTGGGGGGAAATCAGAGGCACTGTAGAGAAGTGAAAAGAGCCCTGGCTTCGGTGGTAGACAGATTGGGTTTTAATTTACTATCTGTTAAATTTTGTTAAACAAATAAAAATTTTGTTAAAATCTTCAAAAGTTAAAGTTCATACTTTATAGTTATATAACTTGGTCAAGTTGCTTTATTTCTTTATATCTCTCATCCTTTTATCATGTATATATTAAAGCTGGTTTCAATGGGTTATTTCACCTAATCCTACATCATTAGCAATTTCAGACCTCATCTCCATTTTCAACGTGAATTCTCTCATGTAAATGAAAAAGTAAATAGTTGTTGATTATAAATATCATATTAGCTTATCTCATTGATCAAAATAATGTCAGAATATCATTCTAGTGTTAATATAGGATCTAGATTGTTTTGGTTTAAAGATTATTTTCTGTTTTTCAGGTGAAAAATGTTTATTTCAAGAATTTCATACCTTTTATGAATTCTCTTGGAATTGTTGATCCTAGCGGACTTCCAGAGGTAATCTGAAAGAAAACGTGATTGAAATATAGTATGTGTATGACTTTTAGTAGGAAATAGCTGTCTTAAATTTTTAAGAGGATTACTTTGTTGTTTATTATCTTGCCTAGTATTGTTGTTGATGGCTGTGTTGGCTTCAATTCATGGTGACTCCATGTGTGTAGAGTAGAACATTTTTATAGCATTTTGAAGGCTGCGCTCTTGTGGAAGCAAATTGCCAGTCTTGTCTTTTGAGGTGCCTCTAGGTGTACTAAAACTGTTAACCATTTGGACAGTGGTCAAATGCTTAATTGTATGTACCATATGTTCTATATTTATTGCACTGTTAACCTTAAGGCATGCAATTCAAGTCTACCAGATAGATGCTCTGTAAGAGAAAGATGGAGAGTCATCACTCATGTGACTTAAAGCACCTTAAACCTGCTGGAGAGTCAGCGATGAGTCTATTTATGACTCTGTGGTATTCAAAGACCAAATTTATATTGAGTGTTTTTTATATTCAAATCCCTACGTCTTTTTTAATATAGAATGGGCAAGTAAACATCATTTATATTTTGCCATAAATATCTTTCTCTTCAATGAGAATGGAATAGCAGAGAACTTATGGTGGCAATATGAGATATGTGGAGAAAAGGCTAGTTAGGTGAAAGAGGGAAAAGTGCCCAACAATAAAGCATTATTTTTTATGATTTTTAAAAATTTTATACTAGTTTGTTTAGAAAATTTGAATACATTGTTTTTTATACCAGATTCTTCCAATTTCCCTTACCCCCTCCATCAAATTGTACAACCCCATGGTTAATCCCTTCCCCCGCATGTTCTCATTCTTTTGCTTCCACTCTTCCCCCCCGCCCCCGACTTGGATCTGTATACTCATTCTACAATAATGATTTTATACAGTATTTGTCCTGTGGGACTTAGTTAGTTCACTCAGCATAATGCTTTCCAGTCCCTCTCAAGGTAGGTAATAATTAACAAAATCATTGCTCCTGCATGCTGTGTAATATTCCATTATATGGATGTACCATAAATTCCCAATCCATTCTGTTGTGGCTGGATATCTGGGCAGTTTCCATGTTCTTGCAGTGGTGAATAACACTGCTATGAACATTGGTATACAAGTTTTTTTGCCTCACTTCTCATTTTCTCAGGGTATATTCCAAGTAGTGGAATAGCTGGGTCATATGGAATTTCTATGTTCAGCTTTTGGGGAAGTGCCAAACTGCCTTCCAGAATGACATTTATTACTTGCTGTCCTGTTAAACTTTGGCACTGTCACTAGAGTGAGATGGTATCTCATAGTGGTTTTGATTTGCATCTCTCTTATTGCCAGTGATTTTGAGCATTTCGTCATGTGTCTGTTGGCCATTCGAATATCTTCCTCTGTGAATATTCTTTCCATATCTTTTGCCCATTGTATAATTGGTTATCAGTCTTTTTCTTGTGGAGACCCAGGAGTATTCTGTAAACTTTTGTTATGAGACTCTTGTCTGAGATGGTATTACCAAATGTTTGTTCCCAGTGAGTAGTTTCTCTTTTCACCCTGTTGGAAAAAGTTTTTTATTTGTACAAGGATTTAATCTTTAGAAGATCCCATTCATCAATTTTATCCTTTTCAGATTGTACATTTCTGGCTGAATTTGGCAGTCTCTTTATATTGTAGCCTGGGGCTTCTAAGCTTGTTCCCAGTTTGTCTCTTATGAACACTATGGTTTTTGTACTTTACTCCCAGGTCTCTGTCCACCTTGAGTTGATTTTTGTGTGTAGTGTGAGACGTGGATCCTGTTTCAGCTTTCTGCAGGTGGAAGTTCAGTTTTGCAGCACCATTTGTTGAAGAGGTTGTCATTTTCCCATTTGATAGCTTTGATTTACTTGTCGAACATCAGTTGATCATAGATAGCTGGGTCTATTTCTGGGTTCTTAATTCTGTCCCATTGTTCTGTGTCATTGTACCAGTACCACGCTGTTTTGATTACTACTGCTATGCAGCAGATTTTGAGGTCAGGGAGTGTTATGTATCCCACCTCATTTTTGTTTCTCAAAAGTGTTTTCCTTATTGGGGGTCTCTTGTCTCTCTAAATAAATTATACTTTTCCCCTTTCAAATTCCTTGGAAAATTAATTTGCTGTCTATATTGGGATTGCATTGTACATGTGGATTGCTTTTGGTAGGACTGTCATTTTCACAGTATTAAGTCATCTTATCCATCAACAGGGTACATTTTCCCATTTCTTAAGGTCTTTTATTGTATCTTGCACAAATGCTGTGTAGTTTTCTTTGTATAGGGTTTTTGTATCTCTAGTTACATTCACTCCCAAGTATCTCAATTGTGGTTGGCTATTGTAAATGGGAGAGCTGGATTTCAGGTTGGAATTCCTCTGCAGCAGTGGGATTCTACGGCTTGTTTGCTGGTTCTAGTGAGGATTAAGGTGGGATGTTGATTCGCCAGTGGGTGTGAGATGATGTGATTTGGCCTCCTATTTAAAAATGCATTTGTTCTCTGGTATGGGGCTGGAATCCAGATGTTAGGTACACTTCAGCCATCAGACCCTAAACATAGAGAGAGCTCTGTTGGCATAGAAAATTATGCTACCAAGCCAGAGGTGGGTGATTTTAATCTGCCGGCCTCGAGTCTGGTTTTAATTGTTTTTGGTCAAACATTCTTCTAAGTGGTACAGCACTGGTCTGTCCATTTGCTGTACAGAGGTAACTCATGATTGCTGTGATGCTAAACACTGTGACCTGATGTGTCAAATGTGATAATGGTTACGCATGGTGGAAAGTGTTTGGTGGAGCTTCCCGATTAAAACAAGCTTGGAAGCAGGAATGGCATCCGCTTCCGAAATGGCTTGCCTCTGGAAACCCTATGAGCATGAAGAAATGACTAAAGTTATATAAGTGTTCAAGTCTTTCATTCATAGGGTCACTATGAGTTGTCTATGACTTGACGGCACTTAACAGCAACAACAACAACATTGTAAATGGTATTTCTCTCTTGATTTCCTTCTCTGAGTTCTCTTTGTTACTGTAGAGGAGACCTACTGATTTTTGGGCATCGCTCTTATATCCTGTTACTCTATGAAACTAGCCTGGTAACTCTAACAATTTTTGTGTTGTTGAGTCTTTGGGCTTTTCTGTGTACACTGTCATATCATCTGCATATAGCAACAATTTAATCACCTCTTTGTTGATCTGGATGCCTTTTATTTCCTCACGTTGTTGTATTGCCCTGCCAAGCACTTCCAGTACAATAAAGCATTATTTTTGAAGCACCTAATTCTTAGTCTTAGTCACCAAGACCTTGGTCTTAGTCACCAAGACTGAGGCTTGAAATCAGAAAGCTTAGACTGCTGATTCTGTGATTTGAGTTGGTAATTCTTGAATTAATTTATTTGTTCAAACAGATATCATTGAGTGCTTAATCTTTCAGGCATTGTACTGTCAATACAGAGATGTAGCTCAGTTATTGATCTTGAGGTGCTTGTGGAAAGAGACAGAGACAGAGCACGAGTCCACAAGAGTCTGATAGAAGTATGCAGAGTGTTACCTCAGAGAAGACTCTCCTAGTCCAAACTGAGACAGAGAGGCTTTGTAGAATAGTGTTTGGCAGTAATAGGATTTCTAAGTTAAGTAAACTTTTTGATAAATAGTATTTCCAAGGATTGGAAATTTTAGGTTCAGAGGTGCAGTAAGTGATATCTGACAGTATGATCTATTCTGTAAACTCCAAGAAATTCATTAGGGTTGGGATATAGGGCAAACAGCACAGTGTGGGGTACAGTGCTTGAGCAGACAAGAGGACCAAATGCTATGTTAATGAGCTTTGTTACTATGTTATGTACCACGGCATGCAGTCTGCAAAGAATCTTACACATGTTTAATAATACTTTCCCTTCAAATGGATGAAACTTGTAATAAAAATCCTTAGAGAAACTTTATAGTTTCCCCAATATTTTGTGATAAACCTTATAGCTACTCATCAATATGTGATCAATAATTTGTGCCTTATAAGGCACAGAATACCTTGAGAGTAGAGATGGTTAACATGTTTGGCTGCAAACTTAAAGACTGGTCTTTCGAGGTCACATAGACACATTGTGGAAGAAAGGCTTAATGATCTACTTCTAAAAAGAATAGCATTGAAAAACCCATGGAGCCAAGTTCTAGTCCAACACACATGGGTTGCCATGGGTGGTAAGTGACTCACTGGTAAGAACAGTGATTCAGTTTATTTAAATTTGAATGACTTTTTTCCTCTATTGTACTTTCAGAAATAAAAAATTTACATTTAACTGGATTTAGTAATATCATTCCTTTCTGAGGTCAGAAACACTTTAGCTTTAAAAATTACAGCAGAACACATGCCAAATAGTTGTCTATTGAACATTTATTTTAAAATGATAATTAGAAAATCATAGATTGGAATCAGTATAAGATTTACAGATCTTAGCAATTGAAAAGGTATCTACAGAATAAACCCTATAACTTTGTTAATTGGGCTAACTAATAGAGCTAATTTGCTTGCCCAAGATACTTAACTAAAGGATATTTAAAAAAACTAAATGGTTTAAAAAAAGATTTGTAATATATATATAGATATATATGTATTTATATATGATCAAAATATATAATCAAGAGAACTTATGAAAAATGTTTGAAAATACTTTGTCTATTAGTAAGTATAGTAGAAATTATTAAAAGAGCGCTATATAGTTTGTTTTTAAGTGTTTTGACAACTGAGGGGTTATAATAATCAGTTCATTCTGAAGTACTGTTTTGTGACATTACTCGTGTTTGTCTATATAAAATTCTAATAAACAGTATACATGTATAAAATAGACTTAAAATTATATATGAAGAAAATGATCTGTTTTCTAAACTTTTGTTCTTGTTAGGTGTCATTGAGTTGAGTTCATAGCGATCCTGTGAATAACAGATCTGAACCCTGCCCTGTCCTTTGCCATCCTCTTCATCTCTGGCACACTAGAGCCCTTTGCTGCAGTTATAGTGTCAGTCTGTCTTGTTGAGGGTCATCTTCTCCTTTGCTGACCCCCACCTTAATGAAACAAATTACTAAGCTAATAAATTGAGTAAATAAATTCCACTAGGAGAGGCCATTCCTTGGAGTGGGACATCATGTTTGAAAAGGTGGATATCTAAACTTTGGGGTAGTATTTATTTATACTGCATGTGAACTCAATGTAAATTATACATGGATGTGCAAAAATTCTTTAATTAAATCTATGACACAAACCAATAATCATTAATATTATTTTCTTCTTTTTAATATTATTTTGTTTTAAGCTTGATAGCCTCTTTAAGCAATATGAAGAAATTTATCTTAAAAACAAAGATATAGATGCAAGATTATTTATGTCTCATGACAGAACTCTTCAGGCTCATTCTTCGGACAGGTATTGTGCATGGTCTATGTTTACTTGTTGATATATTTTTGATATCTCTAGGGTCACTTTGCAGGAAATATTTTTATGTAGATATAAATTTCATTTAGATTTGTTAAGTGAGTTTATCGCACGGGAGGAGATTGGCCATCCTTCTCCTGCAGAGCAGCTGGTGGCCTAGAATGGAGTGCTTTTGGGATTGCAGCACAACTTCTTGCCACTAGGCCGCCAGAGCTCCGTACATTAATGATCTTCAAATATCAGTCATAACTACTGTCAAGTGATTTTATTGATAATACTATATTATTGTTATATTGTCATAATATTGACATAATAAGTCACTATGAGTCGTGCTAGACTCAACACCAACCAGTAACAACAATGTCAATAAAGCTGTGAAGATGAACAGTCTCTTTCTGTGTGATTTACTTCCTCTGAAAACTCTCTAGATGGTCTGCTAGAAGTTGGTTCTAACTCGACAGCACACAGCGCGCGCACACACAGCAGTGATATGAAAAAATTCACTTATTTCAATCGTGTAATTTCCCGACAGATAGGGAATTTGATTGCTATATATAGGAACTTTCTTTTTTCCCCCGTTATCTGAATATGGCTTATGAATGCGCAGCAGGAGTCTGATTTTTCTCTACTTTTTTACCTAAAATAGCCTTCTTCATTTATATATTGTTTTTTCAGAGTTAATAAAACACTTGTTTTCTTAGGGTTTTTTTGTTGGGGTTTTTTTTTTGTTGTTTTTGTTTCTGTTTTTTGGGGTTTTTTTTTAGTTTTTTTTCTCTTGACTCATGTACAATCCTAATCTAGAAGTGGTTGAAAGTAAACACTAAAAATTATAATAAAGTTAGAAAAAGTAATTTAACTTGATGCCTTTAATATGAAATCTTTTAAAATGTAAATGAAAATATTGAACCTAACTTAGAAATTAAGCACAAGTAAAACATGCATAATTTTATTTAATTGGCTATGTTTTTTTGAAGGCATAATAAATTAAAAAAATTAAACTTTGATTTTTTTAAAAAATACTGAACAGCTTGAGTATTAGCAGAATTCTTAAAAGATTGCTGTACCTGTTTGTCATAATCCAGTGGGAAAAACCCCTCACATTTAGAAACAATGACAACAGAGCAATTTTTATTACTTTGAACAGCTTTTGGATTATTTCATTTTTGCTTTACCACTTTATTTTTAATTTTTTTTTCTTTTTGCCTTTTGGGTTACCACTTTATATGATGTTATGAGGTATTACATTGCTTTTTTTAATTCATAAAGGACAAACTGTGAATTTTCAAATGAACTTGTTGATTGCTATTTAGTGTTGAAACGCAGAGAACACCACGGAAAAGTAACACTAATGAAGAAGGGAGTATGATTCCTCCACAGACTCCTGTTAGGTATGATTATATTTCTGCTTTTGTTTCCTCACAATCATTATTTAGTACTTTAGGCTTATTTCTTTGTCTCATTATATATTCATGCGGAATGAATGTATACTGAGTGCTCTCTGTGTGCTGAGGAAGCTTTAGATGTAGTTCTGTGTGTCTTTAAGGAATTCTGTGACTTTCCAGCATCTGAGCACTTAGGTTTTTGAGGAGCAAAAGTCAGGATCAACAGAATGCTGTTTTTTGTAAGTTGGAGGGCAGGCATACCGCCACTCTCCAACGTGTTCACCAATTGTATTATCCACTATTTCCCCCACGGTGCCCGGCATCTCTGCTGGGTTGGATAATTCACTGCATTGGCCATACGGAATTTACATACCATTCTCAGAGATGGTGGTTCGTTAGAGACGCATCAGGATAAAGCTGAGGAAACAGGCTGCTGTTTGTCAACCAGGACCGCTTTCAGTCGGGAACAGTTGCTCAGCTGCTGTGAGCAGCGCGCATAGGCAGCTTTGTGTGTGCTTGGGCTTCGCAACAGTGCTTGGCTTTCCGCTTCTGGCTCCCACCGTGCTGCCCATGGTCGCTGCACAGCTCCGGAGGCTTCTGCTCTGCTGCTGGACCTCGCCTTTCCAGCGGGAAGACTCCTGCACAGGATCAGTATAGTGGGGTGGCTGATGCAGCCAAAGACAAGCCACATCGGCCCCCACAGTACTGCTTACTCTGCCAGGACGTTGCCTTTGTGGGCCTGGACACAGCTGCGTCCTCTTCACAGGGCACCCAGCTCTGTTGTGGACCTACTTCTAGATCTTCAGAGGAGTTCCTCCCAGTTCAGTCGTGGCTGAGGAGATAAAACTGGAACAGATCCAAATTTTTAAAATTTAGCACTGAGCAATAACTGGAACGGGAAAATACAAGTCAAGCTCACTAGAAATTTAATGTCCTCAGATGATGATGGCATTGTGGACCATACTTTCAGTGAACTGTCTAACCTTCGGATTTGAAGTCAGAAGCAGTGGTACCTCGCTCAGAGATGCTGGATCACTAGGCTGCTTTCCGTGTCACTGGCCACTGTCCTACCAACAGTACTTTCTCACCCAAAAGGCTCCATTTTTTATTCAAATGGCTCTCTTCTTTGTTTCCCAGTCCAAGTCTTTGACCCCATCATTTTTCCTGTTCTACACAGAATTCCAGTTCACCTAAATTTTTAAAAATCAGATCTATTCCAGTTTTGCTTTGTTGGCCTAAGTGAGCCTGTTAGAAACTCTGCCTTCTGACCAGAAGTGCCTGTCTGTGCTCCCTGCCATGGACCCACCTACTACTGCCATTTGCCAGATTACGGTGTTGTATGAAACTGTGGGACATGTTAATGAGATGGCATAGAAGAAACATTATGACGTGATGTATGAACTGAATTTTGAAATATTAGTGGGTCTGTGTAATTGGACACCGGCACATTAGCAAGTGAGACCAGCATATGCAAAGGCTCAAAGTATAAAACCACACTATGACTGGAGAGCTGGTAGCAGCTCTGTATGGATAGCATATGAAATGGGCAGATGAAATTACAGGAGAGGAGTGGGGGGAAGTACTAGTTTAGGAAGGACCTCGTACAATGAATGGACTGGGAGTCTAGTGTACTGTCCTCACAAGTTGAACTTTACCTTGAATATGGTATAGCCTGTGCTACAGGTAAGGGTACTAAGCAAGTTAAGAGAAATGCCAGATTTGATTCTTGAATGTTTAGATTATCATATAGTTTGTGAAAGAATGAACTAAGGAAGAAAAAGGATACTCTGTTAGTCTCTGTTGCAGTGCTGCTTAACCATGGCACAGATTAGATTTATCTGAGAAGTTTTTCAAAGTATGTTTGACCAGACCCTGCTCCCAAAGATATAGTGAGTCAAAAATCTTTGGACTGGAGAAATGCCATACAAAATGGTGAAATAGGGATTTTTAGAAGTTAATCATTCCACTAAAACAATAATGGGATTAGAAGAGTCAACTGAAGCGACGGTTCTGGAATTCTGGAGCCCGACCAGACACTCAACCAAACAAGCAAATACCAGATAAAAGAGAAAGGCTGATCATCCTCTGTAGGTGAGCCAATGCTCCAGCCGGCTGACTGCTCCTTCCCCCGACCTCCATTCCTCAGCCCCACTATGACGAACATTGTGGCCTGTGTGTGCACAGTGACCGGCTGATGTCAGGGGTGGGCAGTGAGGTTTCCAAGGTTTGGCTCTGCAGTTTGCACAGCTGAGTTGGTCCATCAGTGCCCTGAGAGAAGAGTGTAGATGACAGAGTGGTGTCAGCCTTCCTGCAGTGCCTTCTCCCTGCGTGACATTCCTCAGGCCACTAACTGTCTATAGAGAAAACAACACTGGAACACACACTCTGCAAAATAACGTGAAAAGAATTACGAACTAGTTGACTGTAGCCTTCGTTAAATAACAATAACAGATCTTGAGCAGTGAGAGAGTTCGATATTTTCTGTATTTTGCTTTCAGATTTTGTTTTAAAACTAGTTAGTTAGGGAGTTCTTGGTGTCCATGCATGTCTTAACGGACAGTCCTTGTAAGAAACAGATAAGAAGTCCCTGTGTAAATGGACTATTATGTCTTTCAATAATTAAAAATAAATGAAGTCCCTGGAATGTGGAAGAATGTGAGTTCCAGAGTAGCCATATTATAATATTGAGATATCTAAGTTACAATAACAACAACAAAATGTAAAGTATACAAAGAAACAAAGAAAGATGGCCAGTAAAAATAAGAAAGTGATAAAAAGTATTCCTAAGGAAACCTGTATGCTGCACAGACTAGAAGACTTCAAAACAACAATATTAGTTATAATAAAAAATGAAATGAAATCATCAAAATGAACAAAAAAATCACCAGAAAAGCAATACCGGAACAAATGGAACTTGTCAACAAAGAGACGATACTTTTAAAACAAACACTATTAGAAGTTTTCATACTTAAAGCTATGATGAATTTAATCACCAAAGTTGGCATACTTAAGCTGGAAGGAGAAAATAAAATAATAAACTAGAGCATAAAGTAATAGATAAAATCATTGCATCTGAAAAGCAAAAATGGAGAAGATAAAAGAAAACAGAGCAACACCTAATGTAATTGTGGGACATCATTCAGAGAACCAACATCTCCATCATGGAAATCTCAGAAAAAAAGATAAAGGAACAGAAGGACTATTTGAAGAAATAATGACAGAAAATTTTAAAATTTGACCAAGGACAAGAATCTGTAAATCCAAGGAGCTTACTGAACTACAAAGAGAGTGAACCCAGAGAGGTCCACACCAAAACATGTTAAAAGTCAATGCTTAAAAACCAAAGATAAAGAGAATCCTAAAAGCAACAGAAGATAAGCAAGTTATCACATCCAAGGGATCCTCAGTAAGATAAGTGCTACTTTCCTCTCAGAAAGCGTGGAGACCAGAAGTACTAAAACAATAGAGCTGCTAACCAGGAATTCTATATCCAGAAAAAAGCTGTCCTATAAGAATGAGTAAAATTAAAACAGTCCCAGATAAACAAAAACTGGGGGAGATCATTGTAGCCAGACCAGCCCTACAAGAAATTCTGAAGACAGTTGAAAGCAAAGCAAAGTGACTTGGTTTCACTCTCTCCAGGACAGACCTGTTTGTTCTCCTGGTAGTCCACTGTGTGTTCAACACACCTTCAGTGCCACAAAAGTCACTTGATTTCACCCTCCCCAGGACAGACCTGTTCGTTCTCCTTGCAGTCCACTGTATGTTCAGCACACCTCCAGCACCACAACTCAAAGGTGCTGATTTTTCTTCTGTCATCCTTGGTCATTGTCCAGCTTTCTGATGCATAGCAAGTAATTGCAAGGACTATAACCTGGATCAGATGCACCTTAGTCTCCAGACTGACAGCGTTACTCTTCAGTACTCTAGAGAGGTGCCTGACAGCAGACTTTTCCAATGCAGTTCGTCCTTTGATTTCCTGACTCCTGGTGCTGAGAGTGTTGATCATGGATGACAAATGCTTTAGAAGGAATTATAAATGTACTTTAAGATGTCTAGTGTAACCTGTCATTTCTGGAACTTGATCAGACTGCCTTGTTTTTCTGAGACTTGAAATTTTCGGCCTTTGACAAGTTGCAGTCTTAACACTCCTCTTTTGCTCATCTTAGTGAAAAATATTTTTTTTCCTTTCCCTAACAGATTTATGTCGTACACAAATTGCAGCTCTTGAAGTTTTTACCAATCTTGGGATAACAAAATCATAAACTGGTATGAGAGGAGTGGAATAGACGCAGAATTTTTATATGCTGCTGCTGTTGTTATGTGCCATAGAATTGCCTGCGACTCAAAGCAACCCTATGTACAAGAGCCATTGTTCTTTAGTACTCTGGAGAGGTCCCTCACAGCTGACTTTCCCAATGCAATTCATTTCATGATTTTCTGGCTGCTGGTACCAAGAGTGTTGACCATGGAGCCAAGTAAACTAAAACTGTTAACTATCTCAATCTCTTCACCATCCATACTGATGCTGCCAATTGGCCCAGTTGTAAGAATCTTTGTCTTCTTGATGCTGAGCTTCAATCCATATTGAAGGCTGCAGTCCTTGACCTTCTGCAGCAAACGCTTCAGATCCTCCTCAGTTTCAGCAAGCAGGGTTGTGTCATCCGCATAACGCAGGTTGTTTATATGCTACTAAAGTGAAATTGGTATCAATATAAATGAAATTATTCAATACAAGATGATTTTAAATGTAATCTCCATGGTAACCTCAAAGAAAATTTCCAAGGAATATGCAAAAGAGATAAGAAGGAAGAGTATCAAAATGATTCACTACAGAAAATCAATTAAACAGGAAGGAAGGCAGTGTTAGAGGAAATGAAGACCAAAAAATAAAATGAGTAAGACACCTGAAAACAAATTCTAAGATGGCTGAAGTAAGTCCTTTCTTATTCATAAGTCCTTCAATCAAAATGCAGAAATGGCTGAATGGATTTTAAAAAATCTAAGCCAATATAATATAAACAGTAGAATGGCAGAAGTCAGTTCTTCCTTACTGGCAGGTGCTTCTTGTCAAAGTGCAGAGAGTGTCAGAATGGATTAAAATAAGATCCAATCATAAATAACAAAACAGAAGTTGTCAATTTTTATTTTTTATTTTTGAAAGTTTCCATCAAAATGCAGAGTGGCAGAATATATATTTTAAAAAATGATTCAACTATAGACTCCCAAAAGAAATAGATATCAGGTCCAGTGACACAAGTACATCGCCAAGCTCCCCAAATATAGAATGGAAAACTGAACAGTAAACCCACACATCTGTGATCATTTGATTTTTGACAAGAGTACCTGAAGCCCATTCAGTGGGGAAGGATTAGTGTTATCTAGAAATGGTTCTGGGGCAACTGTGTTTTTATAGCAGAAGAATCAAATTGTATCTGTTATTACCTCACATGAAAATTAATTCAAAATGGATTAAAGATCTAAAGATGAAAAATTAAACTCTTAGAAGACAATAAAGGGGTAAAATGTCACTCATCAAAACTAACAACTTTTGTGCACCAGAGAACCTTATGAAGAAAGCAAAGTGGAAGCCTATAGAAGGGAAGAGAATATCTGGTAATGATGTACCCCGTCAGTGCTTGGTATCCCGAATATATAAGAATCTTGTACAGCTGAACAGCAAAAAGACAAGCAGCCCAGTGAAAAAATGGACAAAAAATGTAAATAGACATTTTTTTCAAAGATATACAAATTACCGGTAAGAAAATAAAGTGTTTAATGTCACTCGTCAGTGTTATTTCATGAAATTGAGTTGATTTTTGACTGATAATGACTCCATGTGACAGAGTAAATTACCTCATATGATTTTATACACTGTACTTTATGTGAACAGATTACTAAGGGGTTTTCCCGTGAAGGCCTGGATACTTGAACTGTCTACCTTTTGGTAAGCAACCAAGTGCTTAACATTTCATTCAATGAATTATTGTTGTTACTGTGTACTGTCGAGTCAGAACCAACTCATTACTGACCCTTCAGTGGGTTTTCAGAGGCAGCAAATTGCACTGGAGGATATTGACCATCTTTCTCCTGCTTCTTCTTCTTCTTGTTATGTGCTGTTGAGTCCAAATCGACCCATAGCTAACCCTCCAGTAGGTTTTCAGAAACAATTTAATCTCACAGAAGGAGATTCCCTCATATCCTTCTCCCACAGAGCAACTGGCAGATACGAACCACCACGCGCTTCCAAGACTGCATCGCAGCTTCTTACCGTTAGGCCATCAGAGCGCCCTCAGGGAAATGCAAATCAAACCCCAGCAAAATACCATTTCACATTCACGAGAAATATTATTATCAGAAAAATGGGAAATAGCCAGAGTTGGTAAGTATGTGGAAAAAATGTAAATGGCACAACCTTTTGTGGTCCTCAAAAATGAAACATGGAATCTTTCTAAGCGATCTCTATAGTAGCAATCTAATGTAGCAAGATGACTTACAAAGAGAGACACATACCACACTTAATGATCTTATAGAGACTGATGGATGTCCACTGAGAGTATAGCCCCTAGACATCCTTCACAATTCAGTCAACCTTCCCAGAATCACTTCTCAGTCCAACAGTGAACATTAATACCTATGGGCAACATACCTCTCAGAATAGTTTTAAGCATATGCAACCAAAAGAGAAGTATTTGCTCTCAAACATCTCAGAAGGTAAGAAGGGGCAGTACTGAAAGATGAATTGAAACAGGAAACCCATGAAGAAGTGGGGAGACTGTTGTTATACTAAGGGAATTGCAGCTAATACTATAAAATAAAATGTACATGAATTGTTGAATGGAAATTAATTTGTTCTGTAAACTTTTACCCAAACAACAGTACTTTTTTCTTTAAAAAAAAAGTGATTCAAATAGATTTTGTACATCAGTGTTCATAGCAGCATTTTTTCAGAATAGACAAAAATGGAAACAGCTCAAGTGTCCTTTAACAGATGACTGGATCAACAAAATGTGGCAAATATATACAATGCCAAAGTCGTCAGTTACTAAGAGAAATGAAGTTCTGATACAAATGAGCCTTGAAAACATGCTATACGAAATAAGTCAGACTTAAAATGACACATACTATAAAAGTCCACTTACAGAAGTTTCTAAAGTAAGAAATGCATCAAAAGACAAATCCATCCATCAGTCATTATCAGAAAATGAAAGAAGAGAGTTTATTTCTTAAGAGGCACTAGGTTTTTGTATGAGGTGATAAAAAATATTGTTTTGAAAATGGATAATGTTGATAGTTTTACATTGTGATTAATGTGGATAATAGAATTGGCAGTTGTAGGCTGATACCTAAGGAATGCAGCACTTACAGACTGGGTTAGGAAGGCAGATCCGTGGAGAACGAGAAGTGATACCAGAAAGGCTTAGTATGTCAAACCTCAAAAGCCAACAGAGTGTCTTAGGGGAGTCTTTAAGATTGTCAGCTCCTTCCAGAAAGGCAAGTGTGAGAACCAAGGAGAAATGTCTTTTGGTCTTTGTTCACTTGTGGCTTGTGTAGTTATGGCTTAGGTAGAGGGGTGGGCAGGAGGGGCAGAGAAAGCATGTGACAGTGTACCTGAAAGGTGAGGTAGTGTAGAGAGCCATTTAGAGAGGCCTGATTCAGGACATGAAACATGTTTTGATTCTTTTATTATGAAACATTGTCTCAAATGTATTTTTTTACCCCCAAATTTGCATACTTGGGTACATAACCTACACACACAAACACACACATAGTAAAATTGGAGGTATCATTTAATTGTATTTTTGAACACTAGTGACTTTGAAAACCATCTGAAACTTTTAGAATGCTTTTTTTTATTAGATCTTTGCAAAGGAGGATAACTTGATTCATTACTCTAGTTACTACATATCTTCTTGTCTTTGAAAGTTATTAATGTTTAATTATATTTTTTGGCAAGAATACCATTTGGAACAGTTAATAGATTTTATTCTAAAAATAATCTCATTAGTTTGACCACATAAATTCTTTATGAATATATAATCTTATTAGTAATTAAATGTACCAGTTCTATAAGCTGATTATGTACACATCCCAAAGATTGAAATAGCATGTAATTCTTTGAAAGCAACAGCAAACAGAATCTTATGAAGTTGTCATCATCTTAAAGATAATTTGGAGAAGTTTCCCCCTTACCTGCCCATAAAGTATTGCAGATTTAGACTTGGAAAGAGAACAAGGGAAGCATGTTATGTGGTGGCCAAGGGGCAGCAGTACTGACTACAGAATTTGTTTAATTGTCCAAGACCACTGCCAGAATGTCTGTTGGCCTAATGGCTAAGACTCAGTTAACCAAAGACAGTTTGTTTCGCTTCTCTTTGCTTTCCCTTCTGCTTTGCTTTTTGCTGCAATGACTCAAATGTTTGGAAGAGAATATGAATATGTTGTGGGCTTAAATAAAAGTGAAAAAAGAAGAAAACCAAACAACCCCAGTAAACAGGAAACAATGAGTTTAAAGATACATTTGACTTCTGGAGCAAATGCATTTCTTTCCCCCCTCCCCCACCATCCCTTTAACCCTTTGTCTTTCAATTTGTTTTCTTTAGGACTGTTATGAACACTATTCAGCAATTAATAATGATCCTAAACACAGCAAGTGACCAGCCATCAGAAACTCTGATTACCTACTTTAATGTAAGTTATAAATATTGCATATCTTGGTGAAGAAATTTGGAATTAGAACTTAGTATTTTGAGCATTTATTTAGGTGCCTGTTTCCCATTCAACTTGTTGTGCATTATTTTATTCCTTTTTAAAAAAATCTCAAATACTATTCTTGTTTAATAAGTTGGTTCTAGATTTCTTCATGCTTATCAATTGCCTTGCTTATCATTGCTTTTTACAACTTAGACTTCACACCTTAGTTAATCTTATTTTCTCTTCAAATAGGTTTTAATGATTATTTCCAATAAGTTTTTAATAGTTTTCTTATTAAGAGTCCATGTGGAGTGACTATTACAACGTTTTGTTTTTCTCTCGGAATAACTGTCATTATTTTTGTAAGATAGTTTGGTTGAATGTCTAATTCTAGGTTGGCATTTATTTACTGCCTCTTAGAAGTTTAAAAATATTTGGGTAGAGGGAGGGAGTGGGGGAAACCCAAAACAAAAAATAAATGTACATGAATGAAACACAATTTTTAAAGAAAGTTTAAAAATACTGTCTTTCTCCTTCCTGTTTCCCCACTGTGGATAGTATTGGGCTTTTGCCTTTCTAACTGCTGTTCTTTTATAGTTGGTCTTTTTTTATTCTGGCTGTTTGTGAGATCTTTTCTTTGAATGTGGTATTTTATAGTTGGAATAGATGTGGATGCTGTTTTGTTTATACTGTTTTATATTTGTCGATTCTGTCACCTGAGAGCTGTGAATATTTTAAGTCATTAATACTTTGAATAGGAGCACTGAGAGTGCTGTGGTCAGTAGTTCAAACCCACCAGCCATATAAAAAGGAGAAAGCTAGTGTACTTCTATGAAGATTCACAGTCTGGGAAATGCTATGAGGCAGTCCTGCTCGATCATCTTGTAGGGTTGTGTTGTCTTTCTTTGATTCTATTTTCTTTTCTTAAAAATAAACACTTTCTTGTGAAAATGTCAAGCATACTTAACAGTAGGGTTTATCCAGTGAAGCTCCGTTAACACCCAACTTCAGTGATTAACAGCTCATATTTTATCTATAACCCCTCTGTCTTATTTTGAAACCAAATGAGGCATCTCATTTCACTTATCAATATCTCAGTGTTAAGCTTTAAAAGAATTATTTTTAAAAATATAAACACAATATCATTATTATACACACAAAAATAATTTCCTTCCTCTAAGAATTGTTACTTCTTCATTCTTTTTTTAAAAATTTTATTTATTATTTTTTAATGAATGTTTACAGGGATTTTGGATTTACATTTATTCATCATTGCATTTTTCTCCCTGCCCACCCTCCACCCTGCAGTTCACTTTGAAAAGTAAAAGAAAAATTCTTTCATTGGTATACAATCCCCCCCTCCCCAGTATACTACAGTATGCAACCTTCAATCTAGACTCTTGTCATAACCATAATACCCAATCATGTATTGCTTTTAACAGTTCTCTCCCTTATCTGTTTCAATGCAGTATATATAATTTAAGAACTTTTTTATTCTCATACTAGATACTAGTTATACTTAATGCTACTGAGTTTGCTTCCTCTATTTTTTTAAAAAAAACCATGATATATAACAAATATTTGCCACCTCAACATTTTTTACATGTACAATCCATTGACATTGATTATGCTCTAATGATTTGAAACCATCACTACTACCTACTTCTTCAATTTTCTATCATCCTAAACAGAATTTCAGTGCCCCGTAAGCAGTGGCACCCTCTTTATGGACTGAATTTTTTAATTAAGAAAAGAATTTTAAGAGAAAATTGGCACAGATTTGTTTAAAATAATTTATAACTTCAGCCTAATGGTAAGAAAACACCAAACTCTAGCTAAGAACTTTTCATAAAAAAAAATTACAGTAAATTAGTCCTCTTGAACTTTTCCAAGTCATGAAAAGACGAGGAAAAGCTAAGCTTAGAACTGACCCAGGTTGGAGAAGACCTCAGAGGTATCACAGCTAAATGCACTGTAGGGTCCTGGTGCAGGGAGAAAAAGGAGTTTAGTCTGAAAATTTGTGAAATTTGAGCAGGTTCTGTATTTTGACTGTATATTGTACTAAATGGTGTAGTTGGTAGGAGTTGTGCTGCCCCAAAGGCCATGCCCTTCTAGTAGTTTGAATCGAATCCCATGTGATTTATAGCCTCTGAAAAACAGCTGAAGGGTCAGGTAGGAGTCTGTTCCGACTCAGCAACAGTGAGTTTGAGTTTGATTATAGGAAGATGAATTTATTTTTTATAAATGCTCTATGACTCTGTGAAAATTTATGTAAGGGCTAAGGCTTGGTGAATTGTGTAGTCAGTACTGTACTGAAACATTAAAAACTGTCCTGACTGTAAACTAATACTTTTTATTTCAAATGTAGAATTTATGGAAACTTTAAATTCACCCAACCTGTGCAGCATCTGTAGCTTTCAAACATGCCAAGAATTCTTAGAATGATATAATTAAAACATATTCCCACACAATAGCTACAGAATAATATTCATACTACCACCGCCAATGTCATTACTGGAAACCATTTTTTATTTTCTTTTCAACCATTTTTTTCCTTTTCTCCTTAGAGTGTGTCTTGTTAGAGAAGTGTAGACAAATTACTGGGTTTTAAAGTCATTTTGAAAATTTTTTTTGTTGTTATAACACACTCTGGTGACCTACTGGTGAGAAGCTGCACTGTAATTTCAAAGGCACACACAGCACAATCAATAAGAGTGCATCTAAATTCCAAAATCAATCTCCATAATAGTCTACGTGTTTCCTACTGCCAAAGGGGCCCTTTAGAGTAGTGAGAGAAGATCTTCACCCTGAAACCCACAGCGTCCCTTTTCA